GGATTTTTAAGAAGTAGGAATAGATTTAAAACAAATGGATAATACTTAATTTAAGTCGTAGACGAAGTTAATGTTTCTGAACTTCCGGTAAAGTCTCGCACGCAGTGTTGCCACTTTGGATCTTTTATATCCAAATTTAGATCTTTTTCATTGCATTTAGATACTGTTTTTGACGTTTAGATCGTAAATATTTATCTAGATTCTTTTCATATGGAGTTAGATATTTTATAGACTGTTTTTTCTTTCATTGTCAATTTAATAATTACTGTGTAAAATATTTACTACAATATTTTTGTTTTGGTCTGGCACGTACATTGTAACAACTGCCATTACTTGAACTTCGAACTCTCACTGGGGTCAACGCACAAATATCTGGCAGCCCCGGTACTGATTAATAAAAACACGCTTAAATCATACTAACTTTGTATATTTTAATTTCTTGTCCTTTTTAGGATGAAATTTTTCATCATTTGAAGCCCTACTCTGGCTCTTGCCAGGGGCCACAATATGGTCTGGCCATAAATATGGTCTAAAGGCTGAACGCGGTTTCTGGAATCTCTCCATGGTGATCCTCACCCACATGGTGGCACATTGTGTTATCGGGTGTTTATCGCTTGTGTGATGTGCTGGTGGGGTAGAAAGTCAGTCAGTCAGTCATACTAACTTTGTTTCAACCATATCCCCACTGTGCTGACTTGCGTTTCTTTTCCATGTGATTAAAAAAAATAATTGCTCAACTTCTTATGTGGCTTTCACTTTAAACAAACCTTTCAACATGGCAAAAGTAAAGTATGAGCAAAAAATTTGGAAAGAGTGGTTGCATGATGACAAAATTAAAAACTGGGGATATGACCAAAGCTTGTTGTAAGTACTGCAAGTGTGAAATTAAAGCGAAAATACAAAACTCAAAAAGTCATGCAGAGACTAAAAAAGCATAAAACTGCAGTTTCATTTAAAGATATTACACCGCTGACATCTGTTTTCAGAACTATACTGATAAATGAATCATCAAAAGTTGAAGTATCAGTCGCAATGTTTTTAATTTGTCACTGCGCAATTCCAAACTGTGACCATTTGATCGATTTGTAAAAAATCTTGGACTAGTTCAATTTGAAAAGTGTGGTGTAGAAAGTAAAGTTTAGGAAATGAAGGACCTTTTAATCAGCAAACAGTTAGGTTTGAAGAATTTGGCTGTAATTGGTACTGATAATGCCTCAGTGATGGTTGGTATAAACAATGGCGTTTATGCCAAGTTGAAGGAAGCTAACCCATCGTTAATACTTATAAAATGTATGCGTCATTCATTGCAGCTAGCATTATCACATGCTTCATCTAAATATTTACCAAGAAATTTGTAATGCCTTATTGATGAAACACTTTACTGGTTTTCCAAATCATTTGTCAGACAACAGCAATACAATACATTATATACAGCCTTGAATGATGGTTCCACATCACTGAAAATTCTGTCAGATTGCAAAACTAGATGGTTATCAATTTAACCAGCTGTTGAAAGAATTATGAAGCAATGGCTGAAGTTGAAGACACACTTTGAAATAACAAGACAAAGTGAAAAGTTATACACAGCTAAAATACTATATGGAATGTACAGTGATGAAAAAAAATGTGTCATTCATTCTCTTTTTATAACCTATTCTAATGGAAGTGCAAAAAGTTAATAAACTGTTCGAATCTAAACTTGTTGATAAAGTTAAATTACTTGATGATCTCACCTTGCTATTTCACTCGGTAAAAGACTGGTGTTGCCAACTTCTAAAGCTGATTTGCTCACTTGCACTATAGAGAGCTATTTGGCTCCTAAGCCACGCCTTGGATATTAAGTCGAATCAAAAATTGATGATTTAAAAACAAAAGGACTGTTAACAGAGAATGAAGAGAACAACTTAAGAAAACGCTGTCAAGATTTCCTTATCTCATTATTGAAGCAATTGAAGCAGAGATTTCCTGAAAATCTAGATGTTTTGAAAAATATTTAACTTTTTTCTGTGAGCAACATACTTCAGCCAATAAAGGACATACCTAAATATTGTAATGAAATTTTTAGGGGCTACTGATAATAGTGTCGCGGAAGCAGAATATCAGTTAACCAAAATAAAGTTAGCTGAATGGACAAACAAAACAGAAACTAAAGCGTTTTGGAGTGAAGTGAAACAATTTAAAGATGCCTTATCAAACAGTCCATTCTGTAAGCTCTTTAAAGTGCCATGTCTGCCATGATACTACCCCACTCAAATGCTGACGTAGAAAGAGTTTTCAGTGCTAGGAATTATATCAAATCTAACCTAAAAAACAGGATGAAATTTGACCTCTTAAATGCTATCGTGCTATTAAAATTCTGCCTGATGAGACTAGAGAAATAAGCCTACTGTTCCACTTATAAAGAAATTTGAACAGCTAAAGCATACCAGGGTCATTTTTGATCTGAAGCTTCAATTTATTATCCAAGCTAAGTTTATCCTGTGGATCGTGTGAGGCAGACATCAGTGAAGATGAGGACATGATTATGTAGGGTAAGTCATAACAAAAGCTATGTAATTTTTGACTTTTTCAATTTGGATGTTTTTTCTAGATCTTTTCCACGCAGATTTAGATCGTTTTAGATATTTTTTGACACCTTTATGGATATTTTTTGTCAAAGAAAAGTGGCAACACTGCTCGCACGGATCCACGCAATCTCTTGGCCGGTTTCGTCACCGTTGTAACTGAACTATTTTGTGTGTGATGCAACTGCCTTGAAGCAGATATTGCTGTTGTTTATAATAATACTTCATCAATTACACTGTTAGTGGAAATTTGGAAATTCGAGTTTCATCATCACATTATAACTAACAAAGCTTAGTTATATTCATTCCTGTTTCAGTTTCATTGCCAGCAGACCGTCTCTCCCCCTGCTCAGTCAAGCCCAGTAATCAGTACATCGTTTGACGTTTCTCCGACAGTTGTTAACAATGAGTAAGTTTCTAGCATCAAGTGCTTTGGATTATTAAAATCAAATGATACCATTATGTTACTAGATAGGTATAAAAGCATGAAAACAGACCAGTGTGTGCAGTTTACTGAAGTTTCGGTTCTCCTTGCAACTTGATTCAGAACTACGGCCACATATTGGGGGAGTACGCCGGAGTTCAGTCCCCTGGCTGCATTGCAATTACGGAATGAAGAAGGAACGAATCACACAACAAAGTGAGATCGACATGGCTGGTAGACCACGCCCTAACCCTACCCCTAACTCTAACCCTACCCCTAACCCAAACCCTAACCCTATGATGACAGCAGTGCACTGCACGCTGTCTATCGCCAACACACACTAATTACGTCACTTGTTTCGTTCCCTCTTTTCCACTCCGTAATTGCAATGCGGCCAGGGGACTGAACTCTGGCGTACCCCCCCCCCCCCCCCAATATGTGGCCGTAGTTGCAAGGAGAGCCGAAGTTTCTACTTCAGTTCTCAAACCCACTATTGAATAGTGGCAATAGTTCTGTCTTCCTGTCTGTCCTTACTGAACTTAATCAGAGTTACTCTTAGTCTTAGACTGTTTTGTCAGTCTGTATCATATCGGTGGCGGAAGTTGCCAGAGGTGCACAATTTAAGACACCGGAAGTCCGCACTTTACATGTGACTGAGGCCCTGTTAGGGTATATTGCCAGACACAGTTAGCTGAGAGAGCTTAAAATATTATTTTAATGTTCTCATTTCCTAACTATTTCTATTTTTAATAAATTCGCTAGCTGATGATTTTTCAATCCTACGGAAAGGGAGATATGATTGTTGGAAAGGGGGGGGGGGGGGTGTTAGGCCAGACACAGTTAGCTGAGAGAGCTTAAAAATTATTTTAGAGTTCTTATTTCTGAACTATTTCTATTTTAATAATTTTGCCATGGATGATTTTTTCAAGCCTTTGGAGAGGGAGATATGACTGTATCGAGGGAGAGGAAGAGGGGGGGGGGGATATGGCAGACACTGTTAGCTGAGAGCTATTTTCTTTCCTCTCCATTTCACCATTCTGGAGGCTAAGCGGCCCATGTTTGCCTATAAAATGTGTGTGTTGACCCCCTTCAGTTTGTTGTCTCTGTGTCAGCCTGCTTGACACCAATAGTAGAGTGCTAAGCAGGAAAGTAAAGAAGAATAGTAAACCAGCTCAAGGAGTCATCACTCAGTACGTGCTAAGGGCATGTACTATGGGCTGAATAATTTGATGTGCATTGAGAATTATCTCTCAGCTGACTTGTCTTTGAAGGCCTGTCCCTTCATGCCTTTCCCTTGTGGGTTCAGGGGCCCCCATTGTGGGGAATACAAGAATAGATCCACTGTCTCCCCAACAAGCATGTCGTAGAGGTTGACTAATTAAAGGCATCCTTCAAAGTCAGAGTTTACAGCCGGTGAACATGAAGAAGAAAAAGACTTCTTGCTTTTATGACAGTATCTGTGGTGAGGCTATGTTCAGTATTAAAACATTTTGTAGTGACCATAGGAAGTAAGTACAGTAAACGACCCACTTTATGCAGGTGAGCATATGATACTAGGGCTCATTTTCTTTGTATAGACCATCGGCACTCGATGGGTGCTGGTTAACATAATGCCAGCTGCTGCCTTTACTTCCCAGGACATTACCTGGCACCCTTTAGGCTAGTGGCTCTCAACCTTCCTAATGTTGTGACCCTTTAATACAGTTCTTCATGTTGTGGCGACCCCCAACCGTACAATTATTTTCGTTCCTTTCATAACTTCAATGAATATGTGTTGTGCGATGGTCTTTGGTGACCCTGTGAACGGATCATTCAACCCCAAAAAGGGTCGCGACCCACATGTTGAGAACCCCTCCTTTAAGCTGTGTTGATCTTTGAGTCGGAGGTCAGTTTAAAAAAAAAAATATTGACCTGATGCAAATTTGAACCTAGTGCCGGCAGGCCTATATCTAACTACTATGCTTCCCCAGCTCCCTGTAGTGACCATATTCATTGTTTAATATATTTCCCAGCTGAACTATATACATCAGAATCAAAAGGGGATGATGTGACTGGTGATGGCACTAAAGAGAAGCCAGTGAAAACAGTTTTGCAGGTAAATTGTCTAGGAAAGATTATATCGTTTTTATTATTACAGATATGAGAACCAAACAGAATCTTCTTTAATAACCTAGAATATGATGATTTGGTCATATATATGTATATATGTATAAAAAACATGATAGATTCATGTATTACACGAACAACAGCAGTTGGCAGTGTTGAAATAATAAATTTAACAACCATCGTTAGCAGAAGAGTATGGATAGAAAAGATGTTAGATAAACTTTGAAGCTTGTATGACCGCTGCAAACCAAAAGTTCTTTAAAGAAAATAAATATTTGTTGAGAAAATTGATGTTTTCTGCTTTTTGATAAATTAGAGCGTTATTTATATTGACTTCAAAGGTATTTTTTCCCTACTAAAATAAGGATTAGAATTGATCTGTTATTTTTTTTTTTAGGATAGTATGGGGGTGGGGAGGCTGATTCTGCCTCGAGTGCTGGGGGTCCTGGGTTTGAGCTCAGGTGGAGGATGGGATATTTTCACGTAGACTTGCGCACGTAAAAAGTTCCTTGGCACTTGGAAATCAAAAAGAGTAGCCTAATGGCACTGCCCGCCCAAAATTTGGAGTTAAAATCTACTTAGAGTATTTCAGGAGCCTCTCCGGTGCTACGGAGTTCATGCACTGCACTGAAATTCTTTGCACTCAGACTTGAGTTAAAGGTAGAACGCATCACTTATGGGTTACTACTCTTGTGCCATGATGTTGATCTGTCAAATAAACATAAATAATTATAGTAGAACCTCAGCATATGAGTGTACTGGATACGCAGTCAGGTCCATCAAAATTCTTGCCTAAGAATACGAGGGGAACACCAGGATTTGAGCTGGAGAGACAAGGCAAGCGTTATCCCACAGCATCTTAGGAACTTTTAAATGGATTATCACATTATCATTACCAAAGGAGGACTTGAGTAACAGGTAATTCTGGATTTTGTTTTCTGAACTGCCTACTGAATATGAAGATGGTGCGTTAATGGAAATATCCCGAGCGCTGTGATGTCAGTTCCTAACTCAACTCCTTTCTTCTTATCTAATTGTTCCTCTTTTTCTTTCATTTCATAACAACAAATATATTCCATGACTCATAAATTTACGGAAAGAGGTAGAGGAAGACAACTCGAGAAGATTCTTGACAGCCTTTTGGCAAGATACGGAAGTGTGTCAGCACACGGATGCACAGATACATGCTGTTGGAGTTTGCAAATTGTTGAAAGCTGTCATCACCTACGACGGTCGACAAGGCACTTTATGATGACTGAGTGTAGCAACATGGTTACATACAAGTAACCCTCGTTTCCCACACACACACACAAAGTGCCACACATTTCCCCTGCTAATGAAATAAAAAATGTCATTTTACAATATAATTTATACTTACACCATCTGATACGGTGATTTTCGGAGGACTGGAACTGGAACGTATGAATATTATTGACATTAATGGGAAAAATGGTTTCAGGATTATAAGTTATTCACCAGAACAGATTGAATCTGCATCTTGAGGTTCCACTGTACATTACCTTTGTTAAAGTATTTTGGCTGGTTTGTAACACTATATGTTTTACTTTTATAGGCAATGCGCCTCGCTGGAAAGGAACCCTTCCCTGTCATTTACTGTGACTCTAAAAAAGAGGGAGAGGTAAGTTGTACAGTTGACACAATTGCAACATTAATTATGCTGTCTGGAATTACTGAATTCATAACCAACACTGTTCACAGCAGGTTGAATGTGGGTCGGAAAAAATCGGAACTGGATTTACTGAATTCAAAAAAAAAATTTATGGAAAAGCAAACCTGGACAACATATGGCTGCAGAAGTCCGATTTATTGACGGGAAGCCGCAAATTTCACAGCCATGTTGTAAATGAGCACTGCACATTTCCATTTTAAAATGAGCGCAGAAGAAGATGAAAAGAGTGTTTCCCCATTGTGAAATTAAATGTTAAGGGCACTAACAGTGCTACTTTGACTCTTGGACTTACTGAGTCGATCCTCTTCTACCTTGGGGTGCAGAGGTGACTCCTGGACACAAAAGTATATTGCACATTTTCAGTTGAAAGCATTTTCTTGCGTCATTATATGTTGATATTTGGTCTAGTAATTTACCTGACAAGAGTCAGTTAATATGCCAGGCATTGGTAGGCCTACTTTCAGTCCTGCAGGACTCCCTGTGTGGGTTTCTCAGCCTCATTTTGTGGAGGAGGGGGGGAGGATAGACCCACTGCGAGCCCTAACAAACATGTTGTAAAAGTAGACTTAATAGGGGTATTTTCCATCGAAGTAGGGTGTATAAAATCTGTGTGTATTCAAAAGTCAGGAAGAAGTCTGAAGTCCAGCAGTGGATGAACAACCAGAGCTTTCTGGCAGAGTTTACAGTTACTGGGTGCGAAGAAGAAATATTGCAGGATAATAGAGTTGGGCAGCAGAGCAGGCACTTGACAGTGTCTTGGTGACTAAATAGTCTTTCCAGGGCAGTGACCTGGGCAGTTGAATTTGGGAAACCCAACTGTTAAGCAAATTGTATCCTCATTATTTAAATTACTCAGTTCAGTTAGCATGTGACCTAATATGTCTGATCTTCCCTGTGTGGGTGTTCACTCAGGGGAAAAGGAAGACCCAACTGCCCCCACCCCGACAAGCATGTCGCAAAAGTACTAATCATGGATGTCTCCTTTGAAGTAGGATTGCATCTACATGAGAGGCATGGAACCAGCTACCTTCATGCAAATAAGCCTAATCTATATAAAAGGATGTGTATTTAGAGCACTTGTTCTTAAACAAGACTACTAAAGTTCGGAAGTGGACAAACAGCCAGAACTTTCCACCAGATTGGTTGTTTAATTTTCACCATTGTCTTATAATATGTTTAGCAATTTATACAGTTAATTATTATGTATAAATTCTTTGTTATGGCGTCAAGCAAGAATGTTTAAGTTTTTTTTTACATAACTGATTTTCTTTCCTGAGATAACAAAACTAAATTTCTTTCCCTTCTTTTTGAAGGTTTATGAGCCTGTTGCAAAATCTCAGCTAAAAAAGATTCAGAAAATCTGGCAGAGAGAGCAACACAAGACGGCCGGTGTGGAAGAAGCTGCTGTAAGTTTATGTAGTATATGACCAGAAATGTCTAATAACGTGAAAACTTTATCAAGAAAGCTTCTTCATTTCACAAAAATTTTCGCTGCTATAACAAATGGTCAGCCACTTGGTGGAAATTTGGGAGTCGATATGGCCGAGCGGCTAGACGCTCGTCGCGGATCCGAAGGTCGTGGGTTCGCTCCCTGGTGGAGCCGGACTTTTTAAAAAAATGACCTTGGCTGCCAGGTCAGTTTAGCCTAAATGGGTACCAGGTAAAGTCCTGAAGTAAAAGCCGCCGCCATGTTGTTGACTACATCAGCCACTGAGTGCCAGTTGGTCAAATATAGTTTTTTGCACTCTGCACCCTACAGATCTTAGGACGTGCAAAAAGTCTTACTATGGTGGGATTAATTTAATGCACACACATTACCATCCACTCACACACATTACCTTCCACTCACACACATTACCATCCACTACTCACACGTTACCATCCACCTGCACACATTACCATCCACTCACACACATTGCCATCCACTCACACACGTTGCCATCCACTCACACACGTTGCCATCCATTAACACACATTACCGTCCGCTAACACGTTACCATCCACTCCCACACCCTACGGTCCACTCCCACACATTACCATCTACTCACACATTACCATCCATTCCCACACATTAGCATCCACTCACACATTATCATCCACTTCCACACATTACCATCCATTCCCACACATTACCATCCACTCACACATTATCATCCACTCCCACACATTACCATCCATTCCCACACATTACCATCCACTCACACATTATCATCCACTCCCACACATTACCATCCATTCCCACACATTACCATCCACTCACACATTGCCATCCACTCCCACACATTACCATCCACTCCCACACACTGAAAGAAGGTAATTGTAATCCTTAACAAGCATTTTATTTTTTGCAGCAAAAAGATGCTGATCGAAGGGAGAAAAATCTGGAAGAAGCAAAGAAAATAGTAATTGAGAATGATCCCAGTTTACCAGCACCAACTCAGGTAAACTCCATTTTATTCCCATGTTAATTTTTTAAACGGGTTGTGCTTATTTGTGATATCTTTTTATTTTGTTGATTTTGCATTGTTACTAGTTTAATAATTGAACCATTGATGCTGTTTTCTAACTTTGTTACCTTGAATTTATTTAAAATACTGTTTTCTTGAGATAGCATTGCTTCACAGATTCTAGGTACTTAGTTCTTTGGATAATTTCCCCAGAATATGTAAGTGTAGTGTTAAATGAACAGGCAGGCAGGTTGGCTGGTTCCACGTCACTTGGTGGTGAAATGATGCATGACAAGCCAGACAATCTAAAATGTTAGCAAGGCCAGTTGAAAGCAAGTGATCAATGCAGATCATCAGGGTCTGAAGATAATTGTGCAGCGGGTAGTGACAGGGGAATCTAGCCGCTGATACTCAACATTCCAGGAAAAGGCAAGTGGCACATACAGTCGGACTGTTACTAGTACCATTAGAATTGGAACTTTGCGCTGACTGCTGAAGATGGGGCAGAACACTTATGAGAATGTCTCTAGTGCTGTGATTTTAGCTTTCAGCACAGCTCAAGTTTCTTGATGTGCTTAGCAAAAGGCAGCTTATTTTATTGTATTCTTGGTTGTCTGTTCAGCTGTTAAATACCCCAGACTAGTCAGCTTAAAGATAGATAATTTAATCAGTAACTAACTGTCGATTAACTAGGAAAGGACACATAAATGGGACAAATTTGGGATGAAAATTTACTTTCTGTATGACTAACTTGCATACTGTAATAGCCGGAAACTTTAGTTACTCAAAATAAGATTTGAAATACGAAGTTTTCTTTATTGGGGACTAGTTGTTGTAAGTGATATGAATCTTCCTAATAACTGAAGGTGAAATTGCAGTACATTGTTTCAAGATTGGGCAAGATCTGTGACCATCTGAATTAAAACTTTCAGACACTGAAATCCAACGGAAGCATATAAAAATCAAATAAAATATATGACACAGAAGTGCTTGTTTTATTAGTTCATATTATTTTAAACCAGCTAAAAATTGTTATGACCTAGTGGTTTACATTGACTGTTCTGTTATTTATTGAATCAGATATATTAATATTTATGATGACCTATTATGTAATCAGTGTTTTTTTTTTTTTAAACACCAATACAGATACTTTGGTCTGAAGTCGTAAGACATCTAAATGTTAAAATAATTTATGTTGCAGATTAAAATTCGATCAGCAGTTGAAAACCGGGATAAGAGAGTGAAAATATTTGGATGGGTCCACCGCATGAGACGACAAGGTATGGCACTACTGAGCACCACTTGAGGATCAAAATGGTGTTTACGTTTTATTTAATAGGCATGATGACTGTAATCATTACTTGTCATGTACATATACCTCTCTGGGGCTAAATAAGATATACACAGTGTCTCATTTGTCCGGTGAAAGCCTACAGAAATCACACTCAGCAGAGTCACAACTATGATGCAGAAGTTCAAGTCATCAAGATAGCAGCAGAGAAACTACTAAACACCGGGTATATCTCATAACCAATGGTATTCCTGACAGATGCAAAAGCGGTACTTCAGTCACTCGAGTCTGGAAAATTACCATGTATACTGACACTACTATCTGAACTAGGCAGCCGATGTAAGGTAGTTATGCAAGGGATATCATCCCACTGTGGAGTACCCCATAATGAAAGAGCTGATAAACTAGCTAAGGAAAGTGCAACTGAAGAACAACCCTTCGTACCAATCTCTTATCAACAGAAGAAAAGAATAATCAAATCAATCAGAAAGCCAACGAGAGTGGCACAAGACGACTACCATATTATGGACAGACCAGAGCAAGTTATTATTCTACGCCTTAGAACAGGGCATAATCTACTTCACAGCCACATGTATACAGTATTTAAGATTGGCGAATCAACCATGAGCGCCTGCGGGCTGGCGCCTGAGTTGGCTAATCACATCCTCCAAGACTGTCCCAAATAAGTCCCAGACAAAACTTCTGGCCTAGAGAGACACTGGTGGAAGCCAAACTTTACTGGCCACAAAATAAATTACACAAGACAGTGAAGTTCATACTAGAGACAGCGTTGCAAATATAGATTATTTATTTCAAACGAATGAAAGAAGAACACTTAGCATCTTCTTATGAAATGAAGTAACAAAAGTTACAGATAAATCAGTTAGTTAAAATGCAAAGAACAACATTGTTGAAATACCACAGAAAATGTGCTTCAGTATGTTTGGAATGATCAGCTTGTGCCGTGCGATAAGTGTAACTGTCATTAAAAAAAATATTACATGATCACCAGGATCATGGATCAGGTCTTTGTTCTTCTCGCTTCCCATCCATATGGCCAAACCATCCAGGTATTTATCTTTTTGCCTTCCCTTTGCTCTCTTTCCATCAGTCTAGCCAGTGGTTACCAGGTCTCCAGTCCCTTCCTTCTCATAGAATGTACGAAAAAGACAGATGGTCTCCATCTTGTTTTTTGACAGTTTATGCTTTCATCTCTGTTAAGAACAACAACATTGTTAATTTTTCCATCAGTCTATGATATGTTTGGAATGCTTTGTAGTTGTGTTTCATTTAAAAAAAAAATTGTTAAACATAAAATAAAAATTGTGTGCAGTGACACGACACACACACACACACATACACTGAATATTTGTTTGTTACTATAGGAAAAACTCTGATGTTTGTTGTGCTGCGGGATGGCACTGGATTCCTACAGTGTGTCATGGCTGACAGAATGGTAAATATTCAAATTTTTTTCCAACATGACATGCATTATGCATTTTTCTCAATAGTTCTTTTAGTTTAATGGGTGTCTTGATGCCAGCATGTTGAGTTGACACAGGACAGTCTGTATATAATCCCTTACCTGAAAGTATAATGGATACTACAAGTTCTAATTGCAGACTACAATGATTGTGTCTCCCTGTAACCAGTGTCTCAGGATAACCATGGAAGAAGGAGAATATACGAATATTAAATTAAGAATCAACATTATAGCACTCTGGACATTCCCATAAGCACTCTGTCCCCATCTTCAGCAGCAAAAGAAGAGTTCCAGTTTTGATGGTACCAGTAACTGTTTGATTGCACATCTGCTCGTCTTTCCTTTGAGTGTTGAGCGTCGTCCAGATCCCCTGGTAACTCCTTGCAGCACTATTCTCCTCCAACCGTAAGGATCTACATGTGCCTGAGCACTGTTCACTTGGCTCCCAAAGGGCCATCACAACCTCTAGCTTGTCATGCATCAATTCACCATCTAGTGCAGATGTGACCAGTCTGTCTGCCTGCTCGTTTCCCAACACAGCAGCATGACCTGAAGAAGAAGGAGAATATGTGTCTTGGTTTAGAAATATACATCTATTTTTTACTTTAAACAAAAAACCACACACATCTCTTTTTCTGTTTTAATTTTACCTGTTATTCTTCTCCTAATTCTTGTCAGTAATTTAATTACATGACTCTTTAAACTAACTGTGATGTTCTCCATATTGCACCATGTATCTTTGTCAAAGGAATGACAAAAGATTTAAGAAGGTTATAAAGTATATATAAACTTTTGTAGATGTCATTCAACAATGATCAACAGTGATATAAATACTTCTGTACCCAGTTCACTAACAGCTTATTTATTCTTCATTGGGGATGTTATCTGGCTCCGAGGACCGACATTTCATTTTTATGTTGTGTAGCCTCCTCCCCTTCTGCTTTTAGTATTGCTATTGGTGTTTGTTTCTGGTCTGCTGTTATCCTCATATATCTACTTACTTACTTTTGCTTAGTCGCTCCTTCTACCTGGGGGTATTGAGTTTACCAAACAGATCGCCAGACTTCTCTATCATCAGTTTTCTTTCTGGCTTTGTTCCATTCCAGTCCTCTGTCAGTTAGGTACAGTCAGATTTTGTCTTCCCAGCGGACCCTGGGTAGCCCTGGAGGTCTGGTTCCCTGGTTCTTATATCTGCAGTGGTTGTCAATTTTCTCCCATTCTGCATATATGTCCAAACCATCATAACTGTAACTAATCCACTCAGGTTTGTAAGGCCTCATAAATGAGATATCTGAGAAAGGTGGTCCAAGGAACAAGAAGGGACAAAGTCTGCAATCAGACAATAGGTCAAGATCTTAGGCTGATTGCAGACTTTGTCCCTTCTTGTTCCTTGGACCACCTTTCTCAAATATCTCATGTGTGAGGCCTAAAGCTGGCTTCTGAGAGCTGTTATCGTTGCCCATGACTCACACCCGTAGGTCAGGACTGGCACATAGGTAGAGCGATGAACAATCATTTTCGTCCTCTTGCCAATTTCTCGTTTGCTAAGAAGCCTTCGGTTTATGACCTGGAAGAGTCTCCCAGCAGCTGCTTTTCATGTAGCCTGCTCAATCTTAATGTCTCCGTTTCGGTCTATTACAACTCCAAGGTGTTTGAACTGTCATCATATATATCTCTTGTATAAAGCTCCGTCCATTTTTCAGTAACCTTCTATTTGTCTATTATTTCACCTTCAGTTGTTTTCTATCTCCTTGTTGTTGTATGTTTGCCATCTTCACATGGAAGGTCCAATGAAATGGATCTTCCTCATTGTTTCGCTGTGTGATAGTACAGTCATAGCATTCTCTTTCCTATCCATCTGTTAATACATCCATATGTTAATAATCCATTTCAACTCCTCTAGCATCTTTTCCATTCACCATTTTGAATAATGCTACATATATATGCACAGAATATGTTATGAAATAATAATGGCTTCATGTCGTAATTCTCTTTTCATTCCAAGATTGTTTGGGATTTCTATGTTATTCATTCTTCCCACAATATCTGAAGGTACTTTCTTTTTGAATAATTTTTTTGACTTGGTTCTGTTATGTTAATAGAGTCAGACTTATGAAGCGGTGACACTTGCTACTGAGGCATCCATTGCAGTTTACGGTGTTATCAAGGAGCTGCCAAAAGGGAAGACTGTGAGTGTGCCTTAAAAATTCTTAATTATTATTTTTTCTTTCTCAGAATTCATTGATTTCTAGAAAACATCTAGTCATAATACTATTTGCATTTATATATTTGGTAACAGTTTGTGTAAATGAAGTTTCTTGTTATATGTTTGTATTTGTAGTTAGTCAAGATGAGGTTAGGACATTTTAAAGTGACACTCTTGGCTACATGAAACAATAACTGTGGACACCTTGTTCTTTCAGGCTCCAGACAACCATGAAATGGCTGTGGACTTCTGGGAGTTAGTAGGCTCCTCACCTGCAGGTGGCGCTGACAATCTGTTGAACGAGGTAAACTTTAGTACAGCAGTGGACATCGTATAATGCTTTCTTTGTTAATAGATTTAATGCTGAATAATTACTGTGCATTTTCCTTGTTGGAATATCTTTTGGTTGCTAAAAAAAAAACATTAGTGATTTTCATTGTATGTTACTGATGTCATTCACGTTGGTTTTCTCAGACAGCACTCGGGTAATTAACTGCATCATTACTGACTCTGAGCCACTGCTCTTGAAGGTTAAGTCCTAATGATTTGTCTATGAATTGTTGACAAACAGTCACATCTACAAGAGTTGAAGTGGCTCTACTAAGTCTAAATGTACATACAAGTGAATGGACTGCAGGGTTTGAGTGGTTCTAATAAGTCTAGATGTTGTTCTTACAAAGGAAAAGGGCTACAAGGGTTTAAGTGGTCTAGATGTTGTACTTACAAGTAAGTAAAAAAGTAAAGGACCCTTTCCACGCCTTTAGGCGTATAGGGCATATAGGGCTAGACCTATATTTTTATAGACCAACGGCACAAGATGGGTGATGTGGTCAGCATCACGCCGGCCGCCTCTACTTCCCGGGATTGCACCCGGTACCCACTCAAGGCTGGGTCGACCTGGGAGCCAAGGTCATTTTTGAAGAAAAGTCCGTCTCCGCCAGGGAGCGAACCCACGACCTTGTACTTACAAGTGCAAGGGTTTAAGTGGTTCTAAGTCTAGATGTTGTACTTACAAGTGCAAGGGTTTTAGTGGTTCTAAGTCTAGATGTTGTACTTACAAATGCAAGGGTTTAAGTGGTTCTAATAAGTCTAGATGTTGTACTTACAAATGCAAGGGTTTAAGTGGTTCTAAGTCTAGATGTTGTACTTACAAATACAAGGGTTTAAGTGGTTCTAAGTCTAGATGTTGTACTTACAAATGCAAGGGTTTAAGTGGTTCTAATAAGTCTAGAGGTTGTACTTACAAGTGCAAGGGTTTAAGTGGTTCTAAGTCTAGATGTTGTACTTACAAATGCAAGGGTTTAAGTGGTTCTAATAAGTCTAGATGTTGTACTTACAAGTGCAAGGGTTTAAGTGGTTCTAATAAGTCTAGATGTTGTACTTACAAGTGCAAGGGTTTAAGTGGTTCTAATATGTCTAGATGTTGTACTTACAAGTGCAAGGGTTTAAGTGGTTATAAGTCAAGACATTGTACTTACAAGGGAAAGGGCTGATTACCTGGGCTCTGTGGCACCTGCAGGCTGCTAACAGGTTAAGCAGGGGAGATGTGATAGTGTCTGTAAAATAAAACCTGTTGCATAAGGAAACACAAATCCATGACTGAATGTTATATGGAATGTGATTAGAAATGCAATTTGGCATTAGTTGAAATGATCAAGTATGAGGGTGAAATGAAGGTGCATGTAACCAAATGGCCGCTTGAATTATAACTATTCATACTCCTTGATATTGTAAATCAGGAAAATGAGAAGCCTATTTTAATTGGCTGGTGATGAAATCATGTAAAAATGTATTTAGGATATAGATAAAGATAAGGATATACTTAAAACATTTAAAACAAGAAACACATGACACATAGAAGCGTCCTAGGAAATCTCCTACGAAATCAGGCGGCCAAGTTTTACATTTATTAACTAGTGTCAGCACTGAATAGAACTAAAGTGGTACGACAGAATCATTGATGTATGCTAACAAAAGGAGAGAATGAAACAAATTTCAGTGATTGAAAGGCTAAGGAAAAGATGCTGAAACTGGATACGACACACTGAAAAAACCTGATAGTATAACTACAGTGTCCCTTTGTAGGAACCTTCAATGCAGAAGAGATTCAATGTGTATACGTTGTCTCAACAATGAAGGTTGGCTTCTATGTACCCACTGCTGTCTTTGGGTTATTATTATGGGGTAAGGCCCCAATCTTCCACAGTGCAGCCCTCCATCCTTCAATAACCAAAACATTTATTTACAATAAACTGTAGCAGAAACCTAGTACTCAATGATCATGACATCGTTGAACTCGTTCACTAACCACAGAGCCGTACAAAGAGATACAGAGAAATCTAAATACATGGAGAAGGCAGTTAGAGACAAAGGTGAATAATTTGGGGTGGACATGGGGGCTGCTGCAGGAGATGGTGAAAGAAAAGAGGGCTTGGTATGAGATTACTGAGGGTCTGTACTCCATTGGAAATGGAAAGCAGTGGCAAACTACCTTACGTATAATTTGGCTAGAAAAACCACTGCAGCCAAAAATTGCTGGGCTTGGTTCTGCAACGTCCTGTAAAGGATACGCAACTAGCTTAACTCCACTGCGTGATAAAAGGCATGGTTAGATCTTTTTATCATCTTTTCAGGGTTTCAGACAGAGTATTGTGAGCATGCCTCTTAGCTGTAGCATTGGTGTTGGATGACAATTATTCATATGTTTGTGTTGTAAAAAGATATTTTAAAAATGGAAACACCCACAATTTTTTTTTTTTTTCAGGAGGCCCACCCAGATGTTCAGCTGGACAACAGGCATATGATGGTGCGAGGAGAAAACGTAAGTAACGCTAAAATACTTGTGTGTTTTTGCAGTTGGGTTTCAGATTAGCTTCCACTGCCTGCATTTATCATGTTGTGAAGGCCATTGTATGGGGGGGGGGGGGGGGGGGGGGTCATGAGGATTTAATGGCTAAAGATGACATAAAAAACTGCAGGTTAGGATTTTACTTGTGCCCGACAACAACAAAAGAATCCATCATCTTAGTGAGGATTTGAACCTAGAGCCTGGCATTCTTAACCGCTCACTGCTCTGTTTATTGTTTAAAGCTAAGAAGTCTGGGCTTAGGCGTTGCGAACGAGCTTCATAATACGGGGTTGCCAAGTTCGATCCCAGCTGCGGGCCTTACGCCCTGCGCTGGTTTCGACTGTGGTATAGAAAAACCGACTGTCAAGAAAGCAGTGGCGAACTACTGGATGCCTAGAAAAACAACTGGGGTTAGTTCTGCAACATCCTGTAAAGGATACGCGACTAACTTTAAGTAGTCTGTGTGTTCCTTATGATTAATTAGTGCTGTTTAATGAAAACTATGATCACCTGGCTGGAGAGAATTTTCAATAGAGCATGGGCAGAGAGAAAGGTACCAGTGGATTGGCAAAGATCAGTTGTAGTACCTATCTGGAAGAAAAAAGGAAACAAGAGAGAATGTGGAACTTATAGAGGAATATCTTTACTAAGTCATGTGGGGAAAATGTATGCAAAGATCTTAGAAGGTAGGATAAGAGCAAAGGTTGAACCTCTACTGAGTAAAGCACAATTCGGTTTCAGGAAAGGGCGAGGTTGCACTGATGCCATATTTGCACTAAGACAAGTCTGTGAAAAGACACTTGAATACGATAAAGAGCTGAACGTGGTCTTTGTAGATCAAGAGAAGGCATTCGACCGTGTGGACAGAGATGTGCTGTGGAGAATTCTTGACGATTACGGAGTGCAGGGTCAAGTATTAGACAACATCAGAGCCCTCTATGAAAAAAAGTGAAAGTGCAGTAAGAAAACATCTAGTGGTCTTTCTGAATGGTTCAAAGTCACAACTGGTGTCAGACAAGGATGTGTACTGTCACCATTACTTTTCATAACATACATGGATAAGATCACTGTAGAAGCAAACCCAGACGTGTATGCTATAAACGAATTACTTTTTGCTGATAATCAAAGCATACTGTATCAAAATGAATATGATCTACAGGAACATCTGACTACTCTCAACAACAGCTGTTTACAACATAATATGAGAATCAGTACAGAAAAAACAGAAGTTATGAAGATCAGCAGAACACACAGGCCACTGAATATAAATGTTGGAAGTGCCAAAATCAAGCAAACCAAAGAGTTCAAATACTTGGGCAGTATATTTACAGTGGATGGAAGAATGGACAGAGAGATAGAAACAAGAATACAGAAAGCAAATGCTGTCACATACCAACTATCACCTCTGCTTAAACATCCAGATATAACCATGAAGACCAAAGACAATTGATAAACACCATCTTCATTCCAACACTCTGCTACCAGTGCCAGACATGGACAATCAACAAGACCCATTGAAAGAAAAATAGAAACCTGTGAAATGAAATGTCTAAGAAAAGCAGCGAATAAGACCAGACTAGACAGGATAAAGAACATAGACATTAGAAACACTGTCAAAACTACACCATGTTTAGACTACATAGAACATCAAAGAATGAAATGGTTTGGACATCTAACCAGGATGAAAAATGACCAAATAACATCACAAATTTTCAACCAAAGAAGCTCAGGATATAAGGCAAGAGGAAGACCAAGGAAACTGTGGATTGATGGGGTCTCCGAAACCTGCCAAAAGCATGGCCTCAGAACATCAGATGCTGCCCGCCTTGCTTATGACAGGAACTTGCATCTCCCCACAACGCTTAGCGGCATACGTGGAAGGAAAAAGTAAAGTAAAGTAAGTAAAGTTTAATGAAAACAAGAGAGAAAACACTACATACTGTGTGGTCTATATTGTTTTCAAGCTTGTGGCCAAAACCAGCTGAGTATACTACTTATGAATATAATCTCATCAGAACATTCAGAGACAGTTGTGAAACAACTGTCTATGTCTTATTCCATTTGGGAAATGTGATATTGGTTTGTATTAGCTCAATCATGAGGGCAACTGACAGTTTTAAGATATAAAAGTCTTCATAGCCTTAAATTGACACATGCATGCATATATATATATATATATATATATATATATATATATATATATATATATATATATATATATATATATATATATATATATATATATATATATATATATATATATATATATATATATATATTTCTAGAGAAATCCTGTGGACTTTATTTTTTATAGAGACATCATCCAATTGACAGTTTATTCTAGAGACATCATCCAATTGACTAAGTTTATTCTAGGGACATCATCTTATTGACTGAGTTTATTCTAGAGACATCCTCCTATTGACTGAGTAATGTAGAGATGTAATTTTATTTACTGTTATTACATATATATCTTATTCACAGACGGCTAAAGTTTTGAAGATGAGGTCAGTTATAACTCATTGCTTCAGGGAGCATTTTTTCGATCGTGGCTACTTTGAAGTCTTTCCTCCAACACTTGTCCAGACTCAAGTAGAAGGAGGCTCCACTCTGTTCAAGATGGACTTCTTTGGAGAAAATGTGAGCATTACAGAACAAAGAACAGTTCTTAGTGTGTTCTGATTTTTAAATATTGCACACACACACACACACACACAAAAGAATACTTGCATAATGAATTGTCTTTTGCAGATTATATTTGAATTCCCAGGTGTTATAAAATAATCTAATAATTGACCCGCTAGGGACCAGGAGGTGTCTCGATGGAAGCACTACCAATCAGAACCCGCCATCTTTCTATCTTCCGCTTGTTGAACAAATGTATTGTAATTTAGTCCTGTCCATCCCTTGATTTTGTCATTCCAGGTTCTTCTTTGCCTCCCTCTTCTTCGACTACCTCCCAGTGTTCCTTGAAGTATAAACTTTTGCTATTGAATCATATCTCGATGTACAATACAATTGGTTAGATCATATGGTAAAATTAGTAATCATGGAAATAAGATGCTTGAGAAAGTCTGTGAGATTGATCAGATGAGATAAAGTCAGGAATTAGGTCATAAGTAAAAAACTATCTATTGAATAAATACAGAATTACATACAAAGACAGCAAAAAAAATCGGTTTTCCTGCTTATAGCTAATTTCTTGTGATGCCATTACTATGCATCTGTATACCAAAAAACTATAGGAACGTAGAGCTTAATGTAATGAAGAAAGGTGGGAAGCTAACATCAGAGTAATTCTTTCACAGTATCAAGTGTATATGGTAGAGGTCATCAAGAGAGCCATTGATTTCCCTCGAAACATGAACCTCTAGATTACAGAACAAAGCTTGATGAGCCATATAACTAAAATACTTCTCAAGATCATTCAAGAAAGAATTCAAAGTAAAATAAACAATGGAGTGTCTGAGAAACAGTTTGGATTTAGATGGCACTAGGGAAGTCATAATTTGTTTAGAGATGCTGACTGAAAAACCTATAGAAGTCCAAAAAGTATTTATGCATGTTTCATAGATAAAAAGAAAGCATTTGACAGGGTGCAACATGAAAAGCTTATTGCCTGCCTCCAAAATATAGGATTAGATAGATGGAAAGGATGTCAGAATTATTAGTAACCTATACCGTGAACAAACAAACAGTTAGATACACCACCTCACCACAGATCAAGATAAAAAGAGGAGTACATCATGGGTGTGTGTTATCCCCAAGCTTTTTCAACTTATATACAGAAAACATTTTTGAACAGGTTTTAATTGCCTGGACTAAATATTAATGGAGGAGAAAAAAAAAAAAAATCTGAGATATGCAGATGACACAGTGCTACTAGCACTAGCAAGCAGGAGCTAACAAGAACTAGTTGATCAAGTTGACAGGCGAAGTGCAAAGTTTGGTTTAGACATTAATATCCAAAAAACAAAAACTACGGTAATTAAAAATGGAAAAGAGCTGCCAACAATGAACATTACATTAAACAAAGAGGTATTAGAACAAGTAACAAGTTGTTCCTATCTAGGACATAAAGTAACAGATGATGGAAGAAGCCAAACAGAAATCTAAAAAATAATAAGAATGGATAAACTGTCTTCAGTAAGATGTGCAAGTTACTGAAGGCTAGAGCAGAGGTTCTCAAACTGGGTGCCACAGCGAGCATTTTCAGTTATATCTTATCGTACTTGATGTCTTTACACATTTTCATGCTTGCTCAGTCTTCTGATGTAGCAGCCACTCCAATTGTTGCCATGAAAAGTTGGTTATTATGTCTTCTATCTTTTTGAAGATGGCATAGTTGTGCTTTACCGGGCTTTACTCCCATCCCAGGTCACTTAATTGTAGTAGCATCAGAGACTTATAAGTTTCCACCCACTTCTTCTGAACATTGGTGATGATATCAGCTCTGAATTTTTAAATCTACCTAAAGTATTTCAGAATCCTCACAAGGTGCTACAGAGTTTGTGCACTGCGCTGAGATTCTTCAGACTGAATCTTGAGTCAGAAGTAGAACTAAGCACTTATGGGTTACTACCCTTGTGCCGTGATTTTGATCCGTCGTCTAAACCTGCATGGAAAGGGGAAACAGTTAAACTGTACCCATTTGTACTGGACACATTAAACCCCACAGTGATATGTACATACTTGTAAAAAGAGTTTGTGTGAATGCGAATGTACAAAAAAAAATTAACTGCTGTGAGTAATGTTTTTTTTATATTTGTGTAAAGTTTCTCTTTGTTGTCACCTCAGGCCTACTTAACTCAAAGCTCACAGCTCTATCTGGAGACGCTGATTCCTGCAATGGGTGATGTGTTTTGCATGGCACAGTCTTACAGAGCAGAGCCTTCAAAAACAAGAAGGCATCTTGCAGAGTACGTGACACTTACAAAACCAAAAGTTGTTTACTTTTCCTGGTAACAGTTGTTTACCTCCAAGACCTTTCCTAGTAACAGTTGTTTACCTCCAAGACCTTACCTGGTAACAGTTGTTTACCTCCAAGACCTTACCTGGTAACAGTTGTTTACCTCCAAGACTTTACCTGGTAACAGTTGTTTACCTTCAAGACTTTACCTGGTAACAGTTGTTAACCTCCAAGACCTTTCCTGGTAACAGTTGTTTACCTCCAAGACTTTACCTGGTAGCAGTTGTTTACCTCCAAGACTTTACCTGGTAGCAGTTGTTTACCTCCAAGACTTTACCTGGTAACAGTTGTTTACCTCTAAGACCTTTCCTGGTAACAGTTGTTTACTTCCAAGACTTTACCTGGTAGCAGTTATTTACCTCCAAGACCTTTCCTGGTAACAGTTGTTTACCTCCAAGACTTTACCTGGTAACAGTTGTTTACCTCCAAGACCTTTCCTGGTAACAGTTGTTTACCTCCAAGACTTTACCTGGTAACAGTTGTTTACCTCCAAGACTTTACCTGGTAACAGTTGTTTACCTCCAAGACCTTACCTGGTAGCAGTTGTTTACCTCTAAGACCTTTCCTGGTAACAGTTGTTTACCTCTAGGACTTTACCTGGTAACAGTTGTTTACCTCCAAGACTTTTGTGGTAACAGTTGTTTTAATCCAAGACTTTACCTGGTAACAGTTGATCTCCAAGACCTTTACTGTAACAGTTGGTTACCTCTAAGACCTTTCCTGTAACAGTTGTTTACCTCCAAGACTTTATAAAGTTGTTTACCTCTAAGACTTTACCTTGTAACAGTTGTTTACCTCTAAGACTTTTTAAAACAGTTGTTTACCTCCAAGATTTACCTGGTAACAGTTGTTTCTCAAGACTTTACCTGGTAACAGAGTTTACCTTCAATTTAACCTGGTAACAGTTTCAAGCCCTCCAAGATTTCCTGGTAACAGTTGTTTACCTCCAAGACTTTACCTGGTAGCAGTTGTTTACCTCCAAGACTTTACCTGGTAGCAGTTGTTTACCTTTAGACTTTACCTGGTAACAGTTGTTTACCTCTAAGACCTTTCCTGGTAACAGTTGTTTACTTCCAGAGTGTAGCAGTTATTTTACCTCCAAGACCTTTCCTGGTAACAGTTGTTTACTTCCAAGACTTTACTGGTAACAGTTATTTACTCCAACACCTTTCCTGGTAACAGTTGTTTACCTGAGACTTTACCTGGTAAAGTTGTTTACCTCCAAGACTTTACCTGGTAGCAGTTGTTTATTGCAAACCTTCCTGTAGCAGTTGCTCGAAGATCTTTTGGTTTGTTTAATAGGACTTTTGGTAAAAAATGAATCCAAGAAGTCTGTTATTTGTTTACCTCCATACTTTAGCTGGTAACAGTTGTTTTCACCAAGACCTTTGATGCCACATTGGTTACCTCTAAACTTTAGGATATCTACTCCAAGACTTTACCTAGTAACAGTTTGTTTACCTCTAAGACTTTACCTTGTCAGTTGTTTACCTCCGAGACCTTTCCTGGTAACAGTTGTTTACCTCCAAGACCTTACCTGTCCATGTTTACCTCTAATCTTTCCTGGTAACAGTTGTGGGCCTCCAGGACCTTTTCTGGTAACAGTTGTGGGCATCCTGGCCTTTCCATGTGGGCATTGTTTACCTCTGACCTTTCCTGATAACAGTGGGCATCTGCCTGTCCATGTGGGCATCCTGGCCTGTAACATGTTACCTCGGGCATCTGGCCTGTCCATGTGGGCATCTGGCCTGTCCATGTGGGCATCTGGCCTGTCCATGTGGTTTTTTTTTTAATAAAGTCCAAGTGTACTGATCATCTGGCATGTATAAATATGGGCATCTGGGCCTGTGAAACATGAAAATAGCTGTTTCAAGCCATCTTGCCTAGTCCACTTTTATGGGGCATCTTGCCTTTCTAAAATGTGTTGAGGGTGTTCCGGCAAGTGTATGGTAAACACAGAAAATTTAACAGAGACTAACAGCTGTTGAGCATCCTGCCTGTCCCATGGTGAGCATTTATCGCCTGTACAATTCCTGTGATGCCGCATCATCGTGTTAAAACAATTGTTTTTTTGGACAGGCATCTGAGTTCCTAATCTTGAATCCATTGTGTGAAGTTTGTTGTGTCCAGTTCACAGTCTAAATATAAGGACCTGTTCCTTTGTGGTAAGGCGTGTCTGGTCTCTTTAGAGAGACCCTGATGCGATTGATTTTCTTTCTTGCAAAATAGCATTTTGTAGCACATGTTCAGTATTCTATGGTGCCTGTCCACATAGGGCATCTTGCCTGTCCACATGGGGCATCTGTCCTGTCCACATGGGGCATCTGTCCTGTCCACATGGGCATCTGTCCTGTCCACATGGGGCATCTGTCCTGTCCACATGGGGCATCTGTCCTGTCCACATGGGCATCTGGCCTGTCCACATGGGCATCTGGCCTGTCCACATGGGCAAAAACTGTCCACATGGGCAAGTCCTGTCCACTGTGAATCTGGCCTGGCCTGTCCACATGGTCATCTTGGCCTGTCCACATTGGGAAACACTGTTGGGACAAGCCTGAGGACTTGGGCTGTGATGTTGTTGATCGACGTGCTAAAATCTCCTGTCCCCGGCAACACTGTACTTGAGCTGAACCTTGAATCTGTTGTGTGGACTTTTATGTGTCCTAGCTAAAGCTAAGGACCTAACCAATTGATTTTGTTTTGATCTGTTTTTTATAATTACAAGATGATGTATTGAATGGAAGCCGAGATAATGAAAACACTGTTGGACAAGATTGAGGATCGCGTGATAACACAGAAAGATTTAACAAACCAACTGTCAGCCTGTCAGCCTTTTTTTTTTCTAATGGAATTGAGGTGCGAGTCAGCAACGCACTCATGATTGTATCCTAGCTGTGGTGGTATCATAGCTTGCCTTCTGCTGTGATTGTCTTCAGTATTCAGCACTGGAGATTACTGTGTATTTATTTATACTAAATGTAACAGTGGAATGGAATTAACCATGGGGAAGTTATGAAAATTTTGATTTAGCAACAATTACACACCAAAGAAACGAACTGATTAGAATTATTTCTTCTGTGCTTATCCTTAAAAGGGTGGTTGGCATGTTAATGTTGTTTACAGTTGAGCTGTGATATCTGAACCTTTTGGCCCTAAAAAACAAGTTTCAGCAAACCCTAATTGGTCCCCTTTTAGGAGATGCATGTATCTCCGGAAACCCACATGTGGAAGATCAGCATATGAATATAAGTAAGTGTGGACTTATAATGAAAATCCAAAAGTCATGTTGTTTCTCACACAACCATGTGTGTTTTCAAGTACAAGCAGCTGATATGTTTAAAGATTATTCAGTGTAACATTGGGAAAAACTCACTTTATGACTCTAGGTTTGATCCCATATGGCTCATCTTGGCTCATTAGAATGACTAGGTTCACGAAGCTTGCAGTTCACAGGTGCAACAGTGATCCCTAAGGATCTGCATGGTAATTGCAGTCTTGAACTGAATGACACAGTCCATGAGAAGAACCCACAGTTTCCAAGCATTGCGCAAGAAGAATGGTTACTGTGTACGTAGATGATCAGTTGAAAGTTAAGTAAAGGACTCTGTACTGTGCCATGCAGTGAGGCCTGTTGAAAATACCAATGGGCATTTGATGGGTGATGGGAAACTGTCTTGTTTAGTGGAAATTTTATAAATAATGGGGAAACTATCTTGTTTAGGGGAAATTTAATGGATGATGGGGAAAACTTATCTTGTTTAGGGGAAATTTAATGGATGATGGGGAAACTATCTTGTTTAGGGGAAAATTAATGGATGATGGGGAAACTTATCTTGTTTAGGGGAAATTTAATGGATGATGGGGAAACTATCTTGTTTAGGGGAAATTTAATGGATGATGGGGAAACTATGACAGGAAATATCTTATTTGTTTAGTGGAAATTTTAATGGATGATGGGAAAACTGTTCCTGTTTAGTTGAAATTTAATGGATGACTAATGGAGGAAAAACTTATTTGTTGACACCTAATTTAGTGAAAGTACTTATTTAATGGATGATGGGAAAGTATCTTATTTAGTGGATGATTGGAAAATATCTTGTTTAGTGGAAATTTAATGGATGATGGGAAAGTATCTTGTTTAGTGGAAATTTAACTGTTGATGGGAAAGTATCTTGTTAAGTGGAAATATAACTGATGATGAGAAAGTATCTTGTTTAGTGGAAGTTTAATGGATGATGGGAAAGTATCTTGTTTAGTGGAAATTTAGTAGATGATGGAGAAATATTCTTGCTGTTTATTTTGTTGTTGAGGAGTGGTTGGTATGAAAATACATATCTCTAACCAGTTGACCTTATGTTCTTCTTAGGACTTCAAAGCTCCCAAGAAGCCTTTCAGGAGGATGAACTATACTGATGCCATTATTTGGCTTAAGGAAAACAATGTCACAAAGGAGGACGGTACCTTTTATGAGTTTGGGGATGTAAGCTGTTTTGTTTTCCCTATAAAACTTCTAGTGTTAAATTGTGTGTTATTTAACAAACTTTTGGTTGTAAAACTTCATTATTAAAAACTTGGCCTGTTGTGTTGTACATATATGTATGTGTGTATATATATATATGTGTGTGACTGTATGAGTATGGATAGAATGGAGTGTAAGAATAAACTGCAAGTCCTGTGTAACATGTAATGGCACAATATGATGGTGAGTATAAATATATTTATTCCTGCCATATGTTTCTGTTTGTGTTTGGTATTGTTCCTGGGTGGGTTTCCGGGCTCTATTTGGGAAAGGCAATAATACACCCGCTCTCCGCCCCACCTCCCAACAAGCATGTTGTAGATGACGACTAATTAGGGGTTCCCCCCTTCAGAATTGAAGGGCATCTTCCTGAGAGGCAAGATACTTTGGTCTTGATCCAGAATGTCAGTGTTGTCTGTATATACTTTAAACAGATCTGACTTATTTGTATGCAGACTGTTGGTTCCTAGCCTCTCAGGCACATTGCACTGATACTGCACTGTTATGGATTACTTTTCTGACCAGAGAGATGTGTTTGCTTTGGTTTGAAATGTTTTTTGGTCTCCAAGTCAGACAAAAGTGTAGTTGCCTAAGATGGGATTGCTGAACTTTGACAGTTGTTGCAGGGGTCAGGGGTCAGATTATAGACTGGAATTCCTGTGTGGTATTTTTGTGTGTGTGTAGAACACTTGTTATAATGGCGCAGAGCTCTTCTTTTTCGAGCGCTTAGAAGGGCCGAATGTCAGACGGGCCTGCGTGCCCAATTTGTAACCCTTTGAAAATAAAGTTTGTTCGTTCGTTCGTTCTTCTTCTTGGCATTTGGTTTCATATTTTTAGGTCAGACCGTCAGGTCCGGCTGCCTCTGTGATCTTGTATGTTAATTGCAGTTCTTCATGGTTTGCCAAAGCTTGCTCTGCACACTTTGCTGTTGAGGCTATGTTTCTCTTTCTAGTTGTAAGCATAGTGGGAAGACCTGAAAATTCAACTCTGTATTGCACATCTTGATTTGACCAATCAAGATGGAATGGTTAGGTATTTTTAATTGAGCAGGGTCTTCTTATTTTGGGTAGTATAATCAGATAACTAGTTTTCTCAGATTAGGGTGAAAAACAGGTGCCCATGCAAGCTCTGGTCAGATGGAATCTTCTAGAATAGGTAAACCTTACACATGTCAGAGTTGGATGCATTGATTAACTTCTCATTAGATAGGGCATAACTATCCTCCTTGAATAAAGAATGAAGACGATTCACCAAATTTATTTTACTAGAGACTTGAAATACTTCAGTGATAAAAACAGGAGTGACCAGTCAAGCTAGTATCTAGAAATTAGTCCACTGAACTGTGACTAAGTAGCTTAATGAAGATGGGAAATAAAATAAAAACAGAGAGAGAGAGAGACAGGGGGGGGGGGGGGGGGAGACAGACTCTTTTTGCCCATCCTATCTTCTTCATTGAGCTTCTTAAGTCACAATTCAGTGGATTAAAATAGTTCAGTGTATAGAGTGGATGAGGAAGCACTCAACGGATGAAATACTTTGCTTAAATCTTGTGTGACCAGTGTAAAAAAATAGTGAGAATGCTGGTTGGATATTTAGTCCGGAATTAGTAATCAAGGAATTGTGGTTAAGTATGCATTTTAATGCTTCTTTTTTTATTGTTTTTGTTTGTTCATTAAAGGACATTCCAGAAGCTCCAGAACGTAAAATGACTGACACTATCAATGAGCCAATCATGTTGTGTCGATTCCCGGCAGAAATCAAGTCATTCTACATGCCACGCTGCAAGGAAGATAACAGACTTACAGAATCGGTAGGTTAAGTCAACAGCTGTTTATTGAGTCTGTTTGTGTTTTTATTGTAGTGATAAAAGCCATACTGGCAAAATTGTTTGTTTGCTCACTTTCTAAAACAGTTTAAAAAAAAAAAAAGATGAAGGACCCTGTTCCAGGCCTTCAGGCATATTGAGAGCATAAGGCTAAACCTAAAATACATAGACCAAACGGCACTCGGTGGATGATGTGGTCAGCAATGCTGGCCACCTTTACTTCCCTGGTACTTATTTAAGGCTGGGTTGACCTGGGAGCCGGTGTTATTAAAAAATAGTTAGGCTCCAGTCAGGACCTGAACTCACAACCTTCTGATCCGCAGGAAAGCTTTTAGCTGCTACACCAGGGCATCTCCACACTGCTCAAGGTTTATTTCCCAGTTGAAGCTGGGTCCACCCAGACTCATGAAATTGATACTGGATTTTTTTCTTCTGAATTTTTTTACCTGCACATAAACTCTCACAAAAGTGTGCACACTCGTACACCCACACAGGGTGCTCACACCCCTTTGTAAATACTTGTTGTTTATAAAAATATTTCTGAGTAGTGTTCTATTTCTATACTCTCGGTGAATGTATTATTTTTGAATATTTTTGCCTGTTTTAGATTAATAAATGTTTCTAACTGCATCTCTTAATGAGCATAGATTTGAAAATTGTAATCATCATTCTTGTAAATTACCTTTTAACACACTTTGACTGATTTATCAAAAGAACTCATTTTTAAACAGCTTATAAAGGAAATATTAGTTTTATGTAGTTTTTAATTTGATGATTACTGTTTGATGCTTTCCACAATGTGGGTTCTGCGGCTCTGTTTTGGAGAACAAAGAATAGACTCCCCCTTCTCCCTACAAGCTTGTTCTAGTGAGGTGACTAATTAGGGCTATTTCCAATAAAGTCCGGATGCACCTGTATGAAAGGCAGGGAACCAACAGGCAATAAGCATATGTGTAAAATGGATTTACAGGCAGAACTCTGGATCAGAACCAAAGTCTCAAGAGGTCACCAAGCAAAACTTCCATCTGAGTTTACAGCACATGAACACTAACAAGAAGAATTTTAAAATCTGATGATTTTATCCATTGATCTTACTGTTCTGCTAAAGTTACAATAAAATCATATGAATGCAAAGAATGGGACACTAAACTCAGATCACCCCACCCCCCCCACCCCATGTGTGTTCTAGAGCCTCGGGGGAGGGGGGGGAATAGACCCACTAACAAGCATGCTGGTAAAGGTGACTGATGAGGGGTTTGCTGAAACTGAATGTCTGGGGCAGAAATGCCAGCCTAGCTGTAAAACTAAACACGGTGTCCCTGCTGCCCTTTTAGAGGCGAATGCAGAAGGAGGAGAGGAAGAATACATCTACATGGAGTGGGTTTGACTGGCTCTACCACATGTGGTTGTGATGCACTAAAGCAAACCCCAGATCATGTCTGACAAGATTGCCCAGAATTTGGCAGTCAGAAAAATCTGGTGAACATAATCAACCCTGCAAAACAAACTTATAGGGCACTGATGAAGACTCAAGTGCACCGTCCTATCTGTGACCCATAATGAAATAGATACATAGCAGACTTTGATCACTGATGTAGAAATATAATATTAAGATGTTTAATTTGCGTCTTCCCTTTTGATAAAAAGTTGGGGATTGTATGTTGAGCACTCAGGACGGGACAGATACATAGTAGACATTGATCACTGATGTAGAAATAAGAAATTAAGATGTTTAATTTGCATTCTTACTTTTGATAAAAGGTTGAAGATTGTATGTTGAGCACTCAGGACCGGACACTAAACTCAGAGCACACTCACATCAGCTAACTCTGCGACTATGGTCGTATCTGGCCAGAGCATGTTTCACATGAGTGCCCAAACATTGCCAGTCACAGAGAAGAAATCTACAAGATAAACTATGAGGCACCAGCAAAGACCTTGAGCGTACAGTCCAGTTTATGACCCATATTAGAATAGATGCACAGCAGACACTAATTGCTGAAGAAGTAGTAGTATGCTGAGTTAGAGGATGTAGTGAAAGTGGTCTGACTTTTTTGTTGTGTGTGTGTGGACAAGAGGATGATATATTCATTCCAAATCTATAATTTCAGTGAGTTAAAGTGAAGGATCTTTTTTATGCTATTGGCACATCATGCGTGTGTTGCTAGTGACATCTTTATGTAAACTAATGGGCACTTGGTGGGTAGTATCAGCATCATGTCTGTTGGCTTTACCTCAAAGGATTTATCCTAGTCCCCATTTTAGACTGGTTTGTCTCCTCCTTATTCTTCTTGGCGTTCACCGGCTGTAAACTGTGGCGAAGTTCTGGTTGTTCGTCCACCTCTGGACTTTTATAGTTTTATTCAGTTTTATATATCTGACATATTTGTTTGCAGACTGTAGGTTCTTTGCCTCTCTGGTAGATGCACTCCAACTTTGATGGAGGGCTCCAGTTAGACTCTAACAACATGCTTGTTGGGGAGACTGTGAATCCAAGGCCTTCTGATTTTCAGACAAACACTGCACTACAATAATCATTGGCACTATCATTGAAGATTACAGAGATACCTGTTGTTTGTGTTTGGCACAGGTTGACTTGCTGATGCCAAATGTGGGTGAGATTGTGGGTGGATCCATGAGGATTTGGCAGCAGGAGGAGCTGGAAGCTGGCTTCAAGCGAGAGGGCATCGACACTAAATCTTACTACTGGTATATTGACCAGGTAGGAACTCGTCTTTATGATTGTTCTGTTTTACAAACCAGGCAGAGGTAGAATCAATATTTTAATTGCATTTTGTTTTTTCCCTATTACAAACCTTTTAGAACAGTCTCACGAAAAATATTTTGACCCATCAAAGAGACAAACAGCCGAGAATGGAGAGGGAGAGGCAGCAGTGAAATTAATAATCTGTTTGAATCACTAAGGGTGTATGAAGGTTGGAATGATAAAAATTGATTGCAGCAGAAAGAAGGGTAGATAACAGAGAGAAGGGTAGATAACAGAGAGAAGGGTAGATAACAGAGAGAAGGGTATAAATTTACTTTCATAGCATATGATCACTGTTTTTTTGTGTGTGGTGAATCTGTATAGGCTGCACTTTTACATGTTATCTTTGTCCTTCATTCATGACAACAAAGCGAGCTCATTAGTACAATACAACACAGAGAGCTCATCAGTACAATACAACACAGAGAGCTCATCAGTACAATACAACACAGAGAGCTCATCAGTACAATACAAGACAGAGCTCAATAGTACAATACAACATAGAGAGCTCATCAGTACAATACAACACAGAGAGCTCATCAGTACAATACAACACAGAGAGCTCATCAGTACAATACAACACAGAGAGCTCATCAGTACAATACAAGACAGAGCTCAATAGTACAATACAACATAGAGAGCTCATCAGTACAATACAACACAGAGAGCTCATCAGTACAATACAAGACAGAGCTCAATAGTACAATACAACACAGAGAGCTCATAAGTACAATACCACATAGAGAGCTCATTAGTACAATACAACATAGAGAGCTCTTTAGTACAATACAACACAGAGAGCTAATCAGTACAATACAACACAGAGAGCTCTCAGTCATCATACAACATAGGAGTACAAGTACATAGACAGAGCTCAATAGTACAATACAACATAGAGAGCTCATCAGTACAATACAACACAGAGAGCTCATTAGTACAATACAACATAGAGAGCTCATTAGTACAATACAACATAGAGAGCTCATCAGTACAATACAACATAGAGAGCTCATTAGTACAATACAACATAGAGAGCTCAATAGTACAATACAACATAGAGAGCTCATTAGTACAATACAACATAGAGAGCTCATTAGTACAATACAACATAGAGAGCTCTTTAGTACAATACAACATAGAGAGCTCATTAATACAGTACAACATAGAGAGCTCATTAAAACAATACTACATAGAGAGCTCATTACTACAATACAACATAGAGAGCTCAACAACATAGAGAGCTCATTAATACAATACAACATAGAGAGCTCATTAATACAATACAACATAGAGAGCTCATTAATACAATAAAAGTGCAAGGCCTCTGTGGGCCATATTTGGCCCATGGCCAGCCAGCTAAATAACCCTGCTCTAGGACTTAACTTTAACCCATGAACGCTGATAACTTGAGTTAACTGTAGTGATCAGATGATGTCCATGTAGTAAGCATATACCTCTCATTATAACAATATCAGCTGATGTATTTTTGTGTCCCCAGAGAAAGTACGGCACATGTCCTCATGGTGGCTATGGTCTGGGAGTTGAGAGATTTCTCTGCTGGATTCTCAACAGATATCACATTCGTGAAGTGTGTGCTTACCCTCGCTTCATAGGCAGGTGCACCCCATAGACAGCTGTACAGTAAACATTTATTCAAACCACAGCTGGTTATGGACTCCATACATTTCTTGAACATTCATTACTTGTACAACATTGAATTCTTCTGAGCTTACACATATTTAGTAGTTGGAAACACAGACGAAGAAAGCAAGCGGATAAACACAGATTGTGAAAATATGCACAAATTTAAAGAATAAAACTGGATATAAGTAAACCAGCGGGTCATCTCTAGGTGAAGGTCTGGCTAAAACTTTCAAGCTTTTAAGGGATATCATGGCAAAAAAAAAAATAAGAACTATTTAGAACAATGTTGGCAACCTTTTAGAAATGTGCCAAGAGTAAAGTTACAAAATCTATGTGTGCAAACCTTAGTACACCATATGTTAATTACACAAATTTTGAAACACAATAATTTGGTCTTTTAAAAATTGATGTTATATTTCATTTTCATAAAATCATTACTGTACTTGAGTTTTTTAGGGGGTTATTACAAATTGTTGTCTGCAAAGCATGATTGACACACATGGCATAGATTGTAGAGGCCTGAGATAGAAGATTGCTAGACTGTGTCAGGCACCCACTTCTGAACGTTGCCAGTGTTTCTTCACTATACAATTCTGACCATTTTAAATGGAGGTTAGAAAAAAACATTCTTTCTTAGTAAATGGAGCCGGTTTTAACATGGGCTGTGAATTCTGGACAGTTAACAGACAAGCCAAACAATTTCTTGACGCCTTGGAGATGTGATTTAACAGAAGAATCTTTAGAATTTCTTAAACAGCCAAAAAGAGCAACCCAATATTTTGAAAAGAGGCTAGGGCTCAAAAATGAATCAGAAAGAGGCAGTCATTCTTTTTTTGTCATTTTATAAAAGAAACTGGAACATGGCTGTAGCCACTAAAAAGATACAAAACAAAAAAAAAAAAAAAAAAGAGAAACAAAAAAAAAATGCAAGAAGATTCTTGGCAACCTTTTCTCATGGCATGTAGGAGTTTCAACACATGAACTGATACATGCGGCTGAAGATTGCAGATTGTGGAAAGGCATGATCGACCAAACCTGTCGACAAAGCACCTAATGATGATGAACCATATGGAAGACATTAAAGTATAAAGTTTTATAGGGAAATGTTTACTTTTGTCATGGCAGAATGTATTTGTACAAGTTTTTCTTTTTTTTTCTTTTCATGCTGTATCAAATATAACAGTTTCACATGCAATGCGAAGATAACAATAACGGCTTATTGTAAACATTTATTAGTTGCAATCTCTTCGATCTCAAACACTTAAACAGCTTACAAATTCTGTCAGTGTTCTTGATAATGTTCTAGTGATAAATTGTACTGTTTATTGTCTGGAATATTTCATTGTCCCTTGTCAGATGAATCCTGCAGTAACAGTTAATTAAAATGGGGCAAATAAAAGAATCTTTTACAGTAACAAGATGCAGCAAAATTTGCCAGGCAATAAATTGTACAATCTTTTGTTTGTGTCTGCTTTGTTCAACTTTACAACAGGGAAACATTAAATGTTCTAGTATTGTTTTTCAAACATTGTACCACACTAGACTTTGTTAAGATTTAACAGGTACAGAAATTGAAGTCAAATGTCAAGAACATTAATGTATTCATTACATATGTTTCTTTATTGGAAAAAAAACAACTGTTCAGATTATGATTTGTTGTTGACTTACTGAGATAAAGGATGTGTATATATGTGTGAGAAAGACAAGACAGTGCCATTTTAGGCAAGTGAAATAAAAACCGCACCGGAGGAACTTCTCAACAGCGAACTCTGATTAATTAAAAAAAATTTATGCTGCTGCCGCCTCTCTTTCCTTTCTGCTGTTGAATATTGAATTAAGAATCTACATCATGGCACTCAGTACACTCCAATAAGCATTCAGTTATCATCTTCAGCAGCAAAGAAAGAGTTTCAGTTCTAATGGTACCCAGTAACTGATTGTACATTTATCTTGCCTTTTTCTTAAGAGCTGAGCGTTGGTCAGAGCCTCTGGTAACTCCCCTGTAGCGCCATTCTCAGACGGTAATGATCTGTTTGTGCCGCCACACTGTTGACTGGCTCACATCTAGCTGAATAATCGTTGTGCTTAGGTCTCAAAATATCCACAGACTATACGTCAAGTGAATACCTTTTCATTTCATCATCAAGGAAAACGAGGGAGCAAAAGAGGAACACATGCCACACGGTGATGGTCTGGTCAGAAACATAAAGAAAATGCTTGGCGTGAGTTGGTTGAGGACCTATGCTCCAATAGGGGTTACAAAGGCAGAAGAAAAAGAATAATACACTGAGTAAGTGGACTCATAATTCCTTGTAGTTTTTCCTTTAAAGAAGGAATTTTTACGACTATCCAGAAATGAAGAGCTCATTTTTATGAGGCTCTGTGGAAGCCAGAGCTGTACTAGTTAAAAGAATATTCCTGCCTCTGATAGAGACTAGACCCAAACCATATATTCACAAGCAAGATCCAGATCTATGGCTCCAGTGATCATGCTTATAAATGTTGGCACCTGTCTGTCTTTCCAGGCGATAGTATTATATTATCCTATGGAAGAATGGGAGTCGCAGTCCATAGCGAACCTTAGCAAAAAAGCTGGCCAGTATTGTAGAGATCGTGTGCTGCCTGCGCATCATGATCCTTCGGCCTGCCTTGTTTACTCTTAAGGAAAAGCAACACCAGAACGTGTGGAACAAAACTCACCGAAGAAACTGCTGGATCGGAAGAGCAATACACTGTGCGCCTGTCGGAGTTTTCCTTCTACACCAGCTGACAGCCAAGGTTAAGGGCTTTGTTTTCTTTTTTTTTCTTCAGCATTCCGAGCCCTTGAGCTTCATTGCTGTAGATATCCCCTGCCTCCATTTAATGGTTGGCCTTCTCTTTCCAGTTGGTGACACCAAGTTCGTTTAAATCCATCTATATTGGAGGCTTAGATATCTGTTTCGTGACGAGATACAGTTTTACGAAGGTGGGGGGTGTCGGCTTTGTTTGCCCTGTCATAATAAAATATTTTCAGGCTGCATTTATTTTTTTTCTAGGATAAGATATTGTCCTCCCTAATGCGCCCTTTCGCCCAAAGGCTCGGGTATTGTGGGATGTCAGGTCTGATATAATCAGAAAACAGGCACAATGAAGTACCAACTACTGTTAAACGGTAGCTCAATCATATTTAACATTACCTCATAAAACGACACACTAACTTTGTCACTCTGCTGTCCATACATGCTCCACCAGCTACATGGAATCAGACAACACCAGGTGGTACGTGCTTTGCTCGAAAAAAAAAAAAAATCGTCACGTTCAACTAGCATCCCTGAAGGGGGAGCTTAAGGTTATAAATGTGACTAGTCTATGTGCGCAAGATAAAATGCTTAGCGTTGCACGCCAACAAGTGCGATGAAAAGGACGGCTGCAGTGTTGATGCGATCAAAGGAGATAGACCCAAATACGGCCCCGACCGGCAACGAGGTCGTCTGCCGGCCAGCCAATGGGAGACTTAGACCCCTATGTGTAGACAACACTGGAAAGCTTGTCATTTTTGTTATGGCGCATGTGAACCGGTTTTCCAATGACTGTGCATGAGAATTCCGCGCTATCAGAGCTGCCAATAGGATTTTTTTTTTGAAAAACCCAGCTTCGCTAAACAAAAACCCAAGCAATACATAAACAAAACCCAGATTGTTAAAATTTACAAATTTATAGTTACGAAACGAAACATTTACCACTTTTATATAAGGATATATATATATATATAAAAAAACAGATTTCCCCAAGGCGTCAAATAAAAACACAGATCTTATGGGAGGGGGGGGGGGCCCAGCATTGGCAGCCCTGCGCTTAATGCTGGAGGAGCCTAAAGGAAACTGGCTAACGGTAGGATATTTAAACTCTCAATCAAAAGAGTGGGGAAATTCAGACAGAAAACAGCCAGGGATTTGCACTAAGTCAGACATTACTAGGCACAGGCCTCAGTATTAAATAATGCCCTGGGCTACAAGATAAGCAACTGGGCCCAGGAACTCAGAATCCTTAGCGCTGGTGTGCAGTACCGATGCACCCGTGGTGCGCTGGGATATTACTGGAGCTCAGGAAGTTGAGGAGCCCCTGTTGTTTGTTCTAATCACAAAGGGACATTTTGTCGAATAAAAAAAGAAACATTAGCTCACATATTGAAAAAAAAAAAATTAGTTGCGTATGCTTTACACGATGTTGCTGAACCAAACCCAGCATTGTTTTGGCTGTTTGTGTTCTAGTAGTTTGCCATTGCCACTCAACTGACGGTTCTCGATGTCATTGTCGAAATCAACGCAAGGCTGCCAGATCGCTTGCAACTGGTATCGAACCTGGCACTTAGGAATTACGAATCGTTCGCAACCACTAAGCCGATAAGGTTAATAAAAGCCGGGTTGGTTCGTTGTATTTGTTGCAACAAACAGCCAGATAAATAGAATCTTATATATATAAATCAAATGACCACTGATAGAATAAAGGCCAATTATCTGCAACCAAATAACCGCCACAGGCATGGTACGCGATTTACTTGGGAGTAAAGGTAGGCCAAACACGTCTGTGACTTCTTCGAGGTCAAGATAGAAGACTGTAACCAGGTTCTTACGGGAACAGTCAGTAGAAGTACCCTAGAGATGGTGCTGCATCGGAAGACTGAGCACTTATGGGAATGCCCAGTGTGCTGCGACGTCGATAGTGATAATAGAGTATGGAACAATTGATCAAAATTAGGTGAGTTGTTTGATATAAAATAAGTCCAATCTTGCCTGTTACTAACACAAGACAATTTTAGTACTTGATTTCCACCCGACCGTCATTAAGTATATCGATGTCAGCAAAATGGCTATCTGCTCGGCATGCTCGAGCGGCGGTGCACCGAACAATTGACGCCCCGGATGGAAAGACAACTTGCGGCGAACAGTGATCGCGGTGGAAATTATTGATGAATCTACCAGCTCCTTGATTCATTTGTTTTGTCGG